ACTCCGATACCAAGTTTGTCACGACCAGAGCCTAGACCCTGGACATGACCGACACTCGAAGACCATTGATGGTCCCCAAGCGAACCCTCATCCTGGCTGACTACAAGCGGAAAACTGATTCAAGCATACAAAGCATAAAAACTGAATAAATATTCATGAAACTTAAACACAACCTTTAACTCAAAAGAAAATTGAATAAAAATAAATTATTCAACTCTCCATAAAATAGGCAACTTAAGTCTTTAAAACATTTGATAAAATAAATAAATAATACAGACTTCTAAACTATACTGACTATCTATGAAGCCTCTAACTGATAAAAATGGAAGTCGGTACAAGACCCACGATAGCCTGACTGAACTAAAAAGTAAATGAAATCCTTCGAAAGCAAAGAGGCTCACCATAGCTAACTCAATACTCTCGGATATATCAACGAAGCTCCTGTTGATGATCCTGAATACATGTGTCTGCATCATGAGAAGATGCAGGCCAAATGGCTCAGTACGTGGAATGTACGAGCATGTAAGAAGAATTATAAAGCATAACATAAGTTTGAAAAGAATCTGAAAGAAATTGAAGAACTTACCTAGTTTAACTCAACTCAACATAACTGAACTCATTTCAATATAAAGTAGTATAAAATAAGTGCAATTTAAATAAAAAGGAAACTGTTTAAAACATGATGTCAACTCATAATCATAATATCATAAAAGACATGCAATGCTTCCTCTCAAAGTCTACTTGTGCAATGCATGAATGAAGTCCCATACCCCCATTCATACTAAGAAGAACCTCTTGAGGAACCATGCAATTACTGTTGTGGGAGTTTCTCTAACCGACAACCACCACTATGAGTCTAAGTGGTGATACAACATTTTACCTCACGCTGACAAGGACCATCCTATACCTTGTCGGGGTATAGAAAGCTAACTCACTAAGTAGATCCACTAGTCTATTGTGAAAAGGATTCATCTAAAAATTATAACCTTTTTCTACCCATGATGGCTACATGGTTTATGGAGACTTGAGTTAATATGAACTCGCATCTCCATATCGGTGCTTAATACTACTCCCAAAAATATACTTAGCTCATATGTTTTAAAAAGAACTTCTTTCTGTGATTTGAGATTAGTGCTCAAAAACTTAGCTCAAAGGCTATCTTGGAAATCTCAGTTTCCTCTCTTGCTTCATTTAGAAAGCGATTACTTTTTTCTGAAAACTAGCCCGAAGAATCTTTGGAAATCTCAGTTTCCGTTCTTATTTAGATGTGAAAACATTTTAAATCTCTTTGGGAATACTTAGTCCCCATATACTTTTTGAAGAAAAGAACTTTAACTTTACTATTTACTGAATTCAAAACTTAAGTCTTAAAACAAAGTTAAAACGTTTGTAAACGATTTCTTAAAATATTGTTCATGCTGAATTATGGACATGAACTACTCAATGCAAGGTTTTTAATAACCATAGATAGAATTCAAATACTTGGAACTCAAGAACTTCAATGATACTACTCAATCAGGAATGCTCAACTCAGAGTTCATGCGGAATTTATGGGCATGAACGACTCAGGGGTCAAAATATCAATAAGGAACTCATGTATACGACTCTTCTTATTATCTTACTTACTTATTCAAAACTTAGTTCAAATCAATAGTTGATCTCAAAGGATTCACAATTGAACTCAAAACTTTCTGGAACTGTACTCTTAACTCTCTCTTGAATGTGAATTATGAATTCAAGAGTTATGGTTCATGCTATGAAAGATCTCATGATGACAAAGTAGACTCATGAATACATTCTCCTCACTCTCATACTCACTTGCTCGAGTCTTGAAACAAGTTACTAAAAATTGTAGAAGACTCCTCAAAAGACTCAAAGGAACTTTCTTAGAATGTTCGAAAGAATTCTCAAAACTTAACTCTTAACTCTACCTTGAATTTGAATTATGAATTCAAGGTTATGATTCGTGTTCATGGATGATTTCTAGGTGTTTAGAAGTCATTTAGAGTAGTTAGAATCAATGGGAAGTGTTAGGACACTTTAGAATAACTTACATAGGCTAAACGATGAAAAACTAGTGAAAAATGCCGATCCGGGTGCGTCCTGGCGTGCCGCGCCAGGCCCCAATTTACTAGGGCTCGTTTCTGGCGCACTGCTGGCGCTTCTCTCCAGCCTTCCTGGTGCAACGGGGGTGCGTCGCGCCAGCATTGCCCCAAGCAAAACTGACAAACTTTTTCTCTCGTTTTCTGACCTTAAATCGCTTTTAATCGATTTCTTTTCTCAAGTTTTCCTTAGATTCAATTACCCAACCTAAATACACACTAATCCACTCAAAACAACACTAAAAAAAATCACTTTAATCTCAAGAAATCATCAAACCCCAACAAAACAAGATTTAGAATAAATTTCAAGAACACCTATCAAGAACTTAAATCCTTCAACTTTTTGAGAATGAAACTTCGCTAAAAATAATATGTTTGGCATGTGGGTGAACAAACCCGTCACTATGGAAGCTTACATACCTCTTAGGGATTAAGCCCATGGCGAAAATCCGCAACAAGATGCAAGAATCTTGACGAACGCTTGATCCTCTCCTCATTTCTCCTCTTTTCTCTTCTTTTCTCTTCTTGAAACTCTCAACTAAAACCCTAGGCTAATTTTAGGATTATAAAACTGAACCTAATAGGATTTGACCCCTTTAAAAACCTTACTAAAAATGAATCAAATCTGATTGGTAAGGAAAAGACCAAAATACCCTTCTAAAATCCGGTTTTGACTTTCCTTATCTAGACAGCCCAACTTCGAATGGACATATCTCTCTCATACGATATTGAAACTGAGAAAACTCGGTGGCGTTGGAAATATAATTCAAAGATCTTCCCTACGGTATCTGGTATCACACCTAACTCATCCTGAGATAGTAGTTATGATCGTTTGAAGTCAACCGAAAACTCATACTTAGCTTAACTTGCAAAATTTCAGTTTTTTGCTATTTCCAACTTAATTCTTTTTCAAACTCAAGGTGCTACATCTAGTGACCTTAACACGTAAGAAATTTTAATTCCTCGGTAAAATCCTACTCACAACGAAGGATGGTTCAAGTCTTAGCTATAAAAAAAATCTAGGGTGTTACACCTTTGGGTGGTATAGTAATCTCGGGATAACTTATCCCGGGATAAAATAATTAAATGAAAAAATAATCTCTTTCAACTCTTTTGTTACATCACTTTTTACATTCATGAAGGGTTTTTTTGTAAACAAACAAATTGTTCTTAAAATTTATTATTTTGAATTACAACAAACCAAACCTCAATAAAAAATAATCTACATCATAACTTGAATTCAAACCAAACGAACTATAATTTAATCCCAGAATTATTTGGTATTATCTTTCGCAACAAACAAACCCATAGAGTTGAGACTTTAGACTGGGGTTCCAAAAAGTCCCATTTTTCAAAATTTTCATCTTGCTTTGCTGCGAGTCTCTGCCCGCTGCCGCCGATTGCCGTCGCCGCTGCTTGTCGTCTTCATCATTTTGAGGTAAATTTCATCATTGT